CTCTCCAGTGTACTTCCTCCTCCTCCTCCCCACTCATGTCCTGGCCCTGTGGGCCTGCACACACTCTTGCCCTCCCAGGTGCACATGTACCCAGGAGAAGAGCTGCAGCGTCCTGTGTGACCACGTCAACATGATGGACCTGCCCAAAGAGTTCCCCTGCAAGGCGTCCTCCATCAACCTGGACAAGAACAACATCAAGTTTCTGTCCGAGCGAGCCTTTGGCACCCTGCCTTCGCTCAAGACGCTCTCGCTCAACCACAACAACATCTCCTTCATCACGCCGGGAGCGTTTAAAGGGCTGCCCAACTTGCTGGAGCTCAAGTTGGCCCACAACGAGTACATCCGCTACCTGCACACTCGCACCTTCACGGCACTCAAGCGCTTGGTGCATCTGGACCTCTCCGACTGTAACCTGTTCAGCATGCCAGACCGCGTCTTCCTGGAGCAAATCTTCCTGAAGGAACTTCTGTGCTTCCAAAACAACTTTCGACGTGTTCCCGGTGCCATAAGGGGGATGGAAAACCTCACGCACATTTACTTGGAGCGAAACAAGATCGAAGCGGTGGCCTACAACTCTTTGTTGGGCCTAACCAACCTCAAGTACCTGAACTTACAGGAGAATCGCATAAACGTGATACACGATGAGGCCTTCAAAGATCTAGTGTGTCTGGAGAACTTCTACCTGAACGATAATCTGTTGGTCGACTTGCCCCAGCAGGCGTTCAAGGGCCTAAGCAACTTAAAAATGTTGAATCTGGGTGGGAACATGTTGACCAATGTCTCCAAAACATGGTTTAGTGACCTGGTGGAGCTGGAGGTGCTGTACCTGGATCGAAACCGGCTGTCCTATATCGAAGAGGGCGCCTTTGAGAACTTGACGAGCCTCATCACGCTGCACCTCAACAGCAACAATCTGACTTTTCTGCCCTTCTCCGTCTTCCAGCCCATCTATTTCATCGGCCGCCTGTATCTATTTCGAAACCCCTGGGAGTGTACCTGCGACCTGGAGTGGTTGAGGGAGTGGATGGAGAGTTATATGTTGGTGAGGGACATTCCTTGTGCATCTCCGTCTTCTGTGGCCGGCTTGGACCTGAGTGAAGTTGTCTATGCTCACCTGAACGCCACCTGTCTGGATCCCCCGGAGCTCAACCTGACCACGTCTCTTCCCGAGTATTCCACCGTGGAGAACAAGTTTAACAGCCTCATCTCCAAACTTCTACAGCAGGAGCTGAGGGAGGAGATGGTCAACGTCACGGATGGTCTGAGGAATGGCACCCAGCAGGACCCTGCCGAGAGTCAGGTTTCTTCTGGACGTGGACTGTCTGGAGATCCTCAGATGGTGTTTCTTCTTGTGATTCTTTTTCAAGTCCAGATTGACCGCTTTAATGCCTCTTGAGAGTCTGGTGAATCGCGAAAGGGATTGAAGCGCATCCAAAAGTGGAAGTAATTTTCCAGTATGGGAAATGTTTGGGTTTGCGTTTGATCTATCTTGCCATGAGCGGTGGGTTTTCTCATGTTGAAAATGAAATTCTGGCAGATATCATGGAGTTGTAGATGATCATCTCTTTAAATGAATGGAAACTGGTCTTGAAGGGAAAGGATCATGTTTTAAGCAAATAAGACTGTGAAGGACTTTTGTTTGTTTTGCCAATGCAACGGATTGATTAAAGTATAACCGAAGGCCATTTTGTGAGAACTGCAACTAGTCGCGCGAATGTTTTTATATTATTTTTTATCTAGATTTGATTTAAAACATCGTAATAACGCATCTATAGTATGAATACGTTTGTGCATGTTCTGTTGTGTAACTTTGTAACATTTGTTGTGTAGGAGATTTATCTGCTAAAGCTTCTCGCTAACGTTTCACCAGATGGCATGACACGTGCTCTTTTGTTCGGTTCATTGAACTGGGCAAGTTTCCAGTTCTGGAAAATGCATTAGTCCTCCTATTGCGTAAAGCTTAAGTGCACTCGGTAACGGAAGCTGCTTCATATTGTAACCAAATGGATTGGCTAGATCATGGTGTTTTACTGTTATGATCCTATATCTTCACTATACAGAGCACAACGTGCACAGAATGATGCCATGCTTCTGAGCTACTCAATATATGAGATTTGTGTAAGAGACCTAGTAATTGTGCTTTAACACTGATTTTTGTTTAAGTGTGATTGAGATACTTTGAATAAACAAAGATCGTTACATAAATACTCAATAAAATGACTCCCAGGTGCAAAGTTTTGAAAGTGTGCTGCTAAACCACTGATGTGTTAGTTAAACTTCACAGTGCAAGTCCGGCAGCATTAGCGCCTTCGACTCTCAAAATAACATGGTGTTTAGAATCAAATCGAAATGTCAAGATAAAATTACCTCAGAAAATGCATTCATAAAGTTGAGCTCCTTTTTGAAATAATATGCTCTCATGGTACTGCAGCAGTTAATAATGCAACCTTGTCAGGTTATTCACTTAATACAAATAATGGTGCAGTAATTTTTTTTCTAGATTGAAAGTCTACTTATCTATTTGTGGTGAGACTTTCTTCAGCTAAAACTGGCAACTACACTTCAGAAACAAATTTGTCAATGTGTACAAGATAAAAGTTCACCATTTTGGTCTCATTTTCATGAAAAACAATTCAAACATGCAAAATCTGGCTCTGGTTTTTACATTCCATTGTTTCTGATGAGTTGCTTTTTTTTATGACCTCTAAAAGCATTTATTTTCCTCCCTGGCCTTTATATCTGTGTCAATCAGGGTTCTGCAGGTGAACGGTGTCATTCATGTGTGTATTTCATCAACTGGGAAGGCAGCATTTCAACCCTCTGTTCTTGATTGTGGCACAAACAGTGATGAGAAGCAGCTCTCTTCAGGAGGAACAGTTTGTTAGTGAGCAGGAGAAAGTTCAAGACGACATACCCCGACCCAGCTGGAGGAAGGTGATGCCAAGTGCCCTTTAGTTGTGCCTCCTGGGATTAGAACGTAAATAAATCCTGCTTCTTTGTATGTGACCCTGGACCACAAAACCAGTCTCAAGTAGCAAGGGTATATTTGTAGCGATAGCCACAAATACATTGTATGGGTCAAAACGATTTTTATGCCAAAAATCCTTACGATACCAAGTAAAGTTCATGTTCCATGAAGATATTTTGTAAATTTCCCACTGTAAATATATCATAACTTAATTTTTTTGATTAGTAATATGCATTGCCAAGGACTTCATTTGGACAACTTTAAAGGTGATTTTCTCAATATTTTGGTTTTTTAACACCCTCAGATGATGTATAAATCTCAATTTCAAAAAATGTACCCTTATCTGGTCCAGGGTCACATATATGAACATTTATATTTACCTCTATGACAGTACCAAAATACACTACAGTGTTTTTTTTTTATGAATTATTTTATTCAGCAAGGATGCATTAAATTGTTTAAAAGTGACTAATGACATTTATAATGTCAAAATATTTCTATTTAAAAAAAATTGTTCTTTTGAGCTTTCTATTCTTTAAAGAATCCTGAAAAAAATGTATCTTGGTTTCCACAAAAATGCAGATATTTTCAACATTGATAATAATCGTATTGATAATGTGTCTTTATCACCAAATCAGCATATTAGAATGATTTCTGAAGGACCTGGAGTAAGGTTTACAGGAATAATTTACGTGTTTAAAAATATTAAAATAAAGTTATTTAAACTTGTAATAATATTCCACAATATTCCAGTTTTACTGTATTTTGATTACATAAATGCAGCCTTGGTGAACATAAGAGACTTCAAATAAAAATCTTGAATATTAGCGTATTGGAAACTTTACACGTGTAGCAGCGCACTAGCTCTCGGTTTCTATTGCATACAGAAATATGTCCGACACACAGCACCACTGGTCAAGCAAACACCCACTCTGCGTCGCTCTCAGACACATAACTGGGCACTGATCCCGACTGCAGTCACTCAGAGTCAAGCGGGCAGGGCGTGACCTACCACAGCTGCTGGGAAAAATCCGGAAAAACAAAACGGTAAAAGAGGAACCAAAAGTTTTCCATTGGCCCGTCTCTGCCAACTCACACAGAGAGGCCGAGCAAAAGAGCTGGATGAGCAACACAGAGCCGAAGACAGAGGAGATCTTCACCACATAAAAGGAAATATATATATAAAAAAAAAAATCTGCTCCGTCATCGGCAGAGCCATTTACACAGGGCAGTTTGAGTAAACGGTTTGTCATGTACAGAAGCATTCAGATGAACAGACCGTGTTGTCTTTTCGCTTTGCAGACCTCTTCCTCAAACAACTGCACAGAATAAAAATGGGATTTCTGAATCAACATTAATACTCTCAAACGACACATTTCTAAACTCATTTTCATCCTGAGCCCCTTAATCTTACAACAAATAAAAATGTTGACCATTTACAAACACATTTTACTACAGGATTGGTAAAAATAAACTGTTTACAAAGTTGCCAAAATGCAAGAGATGTGCATAGGTCTTTTTTTTTCTTTCTCTCCTCGTCACCGGCTCCAGCTGTTTGAATGTGTTCATCCAGACGAATGGAATGTTTTCTGCTGTGGGTGATGGTCTGAACACAGCTAACACTGACAGCATGGACGCTCGTGAATGTTCACATGCATGAGATCTCGTTCAAATCTCTAAAACATCTATGTGCGTCTTTAGAGAGACAGTATCCACGTGTAGAGGAGGGTGAAATGGGAAAAACGAACCAAAAAAAGTCAAAGGGTTGAAAGCTGAATCGCAGGGTTGTGCTAAAGCAGCTGGGCTCTGCCGCATGGATAATGTGGGATTATGTATGATGGACGGCTGGACAGATGAAAGCTGTGAGAATTCTGTTGTAGGAATACCACACTTTCAGTCTGGTACTAAAGCAATATGGGCATAAAAACTATAAAAATATTCCTTTCAGGAAAATGCGTCATGTAGGATACTGTCTCTTTAAATCAAACGTCTACAAAATGTTGCCTCCTAGCTATATAGATATGACAATATTTAGTCATTTATTTTATAGATTTTTTTCATTAATACAACACTAGGTCTAGGTAGTCTGTGAGGGGCCAAGACTGGGCTCACTGCAGGTACATCAATGTTGTTGTTAAACGTCAGAGGTGGGCTTCTGTTTACATCATGGGAAAGTTGCAAGTTTTTTTTCTTCTTCTTCTTCTTGCAGAGATGCGCCGCAAAGTATGAGGTTATGAAGGGTGTAAGATTACAGGTTGATGGGCTTGCTGTTTTAGTAGACCCAGGACACTGGAACCCACTGGGCCGTGGTGCAAACCAGGTCTATGGCTTCCTCCAGGAGCCGAATAGTCTCGTCAATCTCATTATTGATGATGGTTTGGTCAAAATAGTGTGCATATGTCTTCTGGAGGATCTCGGACTCCTTCTGCAGCCTCTGTAATGACTCGTCCTACAGCATGAAAGAAGAAGAGTAAGTAAAAGAGATGATGAGAGGGAAAAGGGCCTTTTGAAAGGATAATGGATTAATTCTGATAACGTGCCCATGTAAGAAAATTTCATTTATGATCCTAAAGATATAAAAGGAGGATTGGAGAGTTGGGAAGGATGGTACTAGTGTATATATACAATATCATTCAAAAGTTTGGGGTCGGTAAGATTTTTTGTTGTTATTGGGAAAAGGCTCTTATTCTCACCAAGCCTACATTTCTTTAATAATAATGCCAAAGCTGAATTTACAGTAGCCATTACTTCAGTCTTCAGTGTCACATGATCCTTCAGAAATCAATGTTGAAAACTGTTGTGCTGCTTCATATTTTTATTTAGTCTTTTTCCCCTCACTTTTGCAAAAATGTAATGCATTCTTGTTGAATAAAAGTATTAATGTCTTTAAAAAAAATTGAATTAAATTAAAAATGTTTAAATTAAAAAGTTAAAAAATACTGGTTACTGAACCAAACTTTTAAATGGTAATAAGTACTAACATGTGGATCAGGGTTTTCTTAAAAACAGCCGTCTGTCCAATTGACCTTAGTTATAAAGGTCATAAACGAAGTGGAACATGTTTGGGAAGAGCTTTGTAGGCACTAGGTTCTAGTTGACCATACTCACAGGCAGCTTCCTGCACCATCTGGGAAGCTGAGCGTGATGTGAGGAAAGTTAGAAGAAATTAAAAAACATGCCAAAAAAGGTGCATGCAAAAAGAAAGAAAGAAAGAAAGAAAGAGCGGCTAAAGAAAGATGTAGCTGAATGAAAGAAGGAAGAGAAGTCAGGTGGAGTTGTTCTGCCAGTGAGGTGACAAATGCCATGGCATACTGAGAACTCCTGAGCTCACCTCGTTCATGCCGGGAGTGATGGTTGGTGCAGCAATGAAAACCACATAGGGAGCAAATTCAGCTGTCCGTAAAACCTTCAGTGCCTGAGAAAATTTGAACACAAGACAGAGTTATTACACTACATTTCTTATGTCCCCATCATATGTGTCTAAATATATTTGAGATATGATATTAAATGATGATTAAGATGCAATCAAATTTGTCAGTTTTCTTTTAGCACAATATCAGTTTTGAATAATTTCACTTGGATCGGATCATGTTGTTAGTTTTGCAATGCAACTTTTAACTTAAAAATTATTCTAGGTGCTTGTCTAGTTCTTTTTTCCTCTAACTGAATTTTTTTGTCTTAACATCACTTTCCTTTGGTCTTTTCTAACAATAACCGGTTTTCTAAAGACTTCATCCTGAAGGGTAATGACATTATTTATGGTATGCAAATGACACTAACATCAATTAGATTTGATTTAATAAAGTTTTGTGGTATTAGATGGTTTATATCAATCCAAAACATTCCATCTTGTTTGATAATATTTAATAGTTTAAATATCTAAACTACTATCAAGTTGACACTGTAAGATATATCCTAATTCCTCACTAAGTAATGGTTAACTGACCTTAAGTCTTTATTTCCATCTTATTAAGTCTCATCTTAATAGTGTTCTTTGCATAAATAATAAAGTTATAGCAAAGTTTAAGTTCCTGAACTTAAGCAGAACATATTTCTGAAAGTATGCAATACCAAAACTGCATAAGAGGAATGACCTACAAGGTTAATGTTCAACTGTCTTCTAGGGCAGTTAAAGGTTCACCTGTGGCTCTACGTCCAGTATGGCTACGAGTCCCTGCTCATGGATCTTGCGTATTGTCTCCAACCGCGTGCCGTACATCGCGTCCTCGTGGCTGCCGTACTCCAGGTAATCGTTGTTGGAGATGTCCTGCATCATTTGGTCGTGGGATACAAAGAAATAATTCTTGCCGTTCTCTTCATCTTTCTTTGCAGGTCTGGTTGTGTCTTTTGGGGCAGAAATGAGTGTGAGGTTATCAGTTGAGCAGTAACCAATTGTTGTCTGTCGGGGCAGAAATGAGTAGGCGGTTATCAGTTCAGCAGAGACCAATCACGTGGACTGTTAGAGACAGTGATTTGGGAATGTTTCTTACGTGGAATGGGATAAGCAAATCTGTCTGGGTGTTTGGTGATGAGTGTGTTCTTGATGTGTCTTCGGCCAACACCGTGAGCACCTGCCAGTCGACAACAAACCACACATGTAAGAGACATGCTTCATGCCAACTAACAAAGGTAAGATGTGGATTTGAACCAAGATCTACATACACACCTAGTAAAACTAATGTTTTCCTCTTGAATGCTGGCAACTTCACTACTTCCTCATATGTGACCAGATCTAGTTGATCAAACACTAAAAAAAAAACAACACCACAAGATTGTTATTTAATAGTAGGGAGGGATTGACCTTAAATTTCAAAAACGGTTTGCTGTTGTCATTAGACTACCAAAAAACAGTTTTAAAGTAAAAAAAACAAACAAATGTGGAATCTTACAAAGGAAGGGTGGATGTTTTTGGGTAATTTGTTCTCTGTTTTCATTGGGACTATGAGGACTGCATGTGTTTTGGCTGCTTATGTAATGCTACAGGCCTGATGGGGGATTTGATACTGTGTCTGACTGACATTCAATCTCCACTGCAGCAGAGTGGCTTCATGTATCAGTGTGTTCAAATGCAGCACAGAAGCCGAGCTGAGAAAACACATCCCAGCCACTCACACTTGGCATTTCTGCATATTCAAACTTGTCACCGATGTCAAACATGGAGATATTTTGTATGCACATTTCCTCTATTTTTACATTTTACATTACCATTGCCATCATCTAATGCACAGTTAATATTTAAAAACACTATGAATTTAATAACACTTGTTAACACTCTACATTATAATGTAATTATGCTGAAATTTACTTGCAGCATTTAAAATGTTTGATTTTACGGTTTTGTGTTTTTTGGGGTCTGTAAGATTTTTTTTTAATGTTTTTGAAAGAAGTCATATTCACCAAGGCTGCATTTATTTGTATAAAAATACAGTAAAACAGTAACATTGTGAAAAATTACAACAATTTAAAACGACTGCTTTCTATTTTAATATAGTCTAGGGTGCTTTCACACCTGTAGATTGATTGCTTTGTACCGAAACAGGGATTAAAATTATTACAATGTTGCTTTTAATTCTTGGTGCGGTTCGCTTTCACATGGCCAAGTTTCTAAACGGACCAAATTTGTTAATACAAGTCACGCGCGAGTAAACTGTTGTCTCATTGGTCAAAGTTCCACGGCTTATTTTCCGGGATTCCACTTAGCTGTCATCTGTCAGGATGGAACAATAACAGCTTCGCGGGCTTATTGTTGTTGTTGTTTTGTAGCTGTCCTTATAATAATTTATCATTTTGAGCAGGAGTCTAGGATTGATTGGGAAAACATTTTTAAAATGCACCTACTACAAAGAAGAGCAATAAGACGGCATTATAAAATAAAAAAGTGCGCTTTGATTTTTGAATGGCAAAGACGTGCTCACCCACAGACATTCACAGGTTCATTTTGAGGTATTAGCAAAACAACAAAGCTAATGCTTTTCACGGAACTTACGTAATTGCCCATCATAAATTGTGATATAGCCTGGTTCGTTGGTCCGTTGGATCGGATTGCTTTCTCACTACAACCGAACCGCTCCAGAGTTCGTTTTCAATCGAGCCGAGACCACCTCGTTCAGGAGATCTCGGACCGATTGTTTTGGCGCGGATCCGAGCGCGATTGCAGTGTTCACATATGCCCAAACAAACCGAGCTAGGATGGGGGAAACGCGCCAGGTTCCGAAACAACAGGCTAGGTGTGAAAGCACCCTAAAATGTAATTTATTTATTTGATGGCAAACCTGAATTTCTAGCAGCCACTACTTAAGAAATCATTCTAATATATCTTACGGCCTCCTAACTTTTGAACAGAAGTATATTTATCCAACAAAATGTATAGTGAATGTGCAAAGGAGAATTAAGAAGAAGAAGATTATCAATTAGATTTCAGTCATCACACAAAGCCATGATTGTTGCATGGACTACTTCTATAGTGCTTTTTACAGTTTTTTGGTCTCTATGAATGGAAAAAAAAGCAGCATGAAACAGACACCTGTTAATTTTCACAGTTAGATACTATCACTAGTAATGCTAGCATAAAAATGAGAAAACGTCTGATGGGCTAAAACGATGATTCCTCTGAAATACGACTGCACTAAAGGACAAAGTATAATTTATTGCTATTGTGAACTTCCATAAAGCTATAGCACTTAGCCTTTTCTACCACAGTGTTTCAGTTGCATAATGAGTAAAACTGGCTGCAGTGTGCATGCGGGGGTGTTTTGGGGGAGACAGCATTGGTGTGTGCAGGAGACGGTGAGTTGACTTGGCAGTGGGAAACGTGAGCCATCTGTGTCATTTCCACGTGAAATGTGATTTCAGCACTCATCTCCCTCTCTTTCGCTTGAACTTGAGCATGCAGCTCTATATATGTAGGCTGTTTAATGGATTTGCACACAGAGAAGCCTCATGTTGTACTGTGGATCAGTGGATATAGGTGCACAGGGTTCAGAGAATAGACTTTAAAATAAACTAAAAACACAAAGCACAACACAACAAAGTAAACCACAAATACCACACAAACATCAAAAAAAGATCTTTGTTCTATTGATTGAGAAAAATGGAGGTTGCTAATAGGCAAAGATGGTTTCGGGGTTAACAAAATCACCACAGCAAAGGCATTGAGTGAGACAGAGACAGACAGAGAAAGAGAGAATTAAGCACAGAGGCTGTATGGTACAGCAACACAGTTACTTACATGCACAGAGGCCATTGGTAGATAGACAGCATGTAAAATGGACAGGGGAGGGGGGGTCATTGAGTTATGGCTCAGTTAACAGAACATCAGTAAACAAACACAACAACAAGCACGCCCAAAGCTGTGATGCTCGAAGCACAGAGACATGATGGCCATCCGTGAGCTCGGGCTGCTCTGGATGGGGCGCTTTCAGAGCATGTGAGACGGCGCTGCTCTGAACAATGAAACATGCCTCTGACATTCACAGCAATGCACTTGCATATCAAGCCTGGAATCTGAAAGCTGCAATTAAAGGGTGGAATTAAGAGGTTTTTCTGATAATCTGCCAAAGTATTATCATTTGCAGTCACAGTATGAATAATGTTCTATTACAGCAATGCTATACATCATGACATATGTGGACATGTGTATATATTACATAATCATGTGGTAATGCCTATTCATAATCCAGTGAATTAAAAACTTGGCAGATAAAAGCTACATAATATTATTTATTATTATTTTTTCTGAACTTGTCACACAAACCAACAGATCATATTATTCTTAACAAATGATAGTGATAGTCATGTCTACCACAGAATAAGCAAAGCAAAATCTCTACTGGCTGACACATTTCTACCATCCATCTGTATCATTACAGCTCTCCTTGCTATATGGTTACTAGAATGTTGCTCGGTGGTTTCTTAGAAGGACAACTCAAGTGTCCACCACCAAACCCACCTCCTTCAGTGTTCATGCATGTATACATTAAAGTTCCAAAATTTGGGCTCTGTAAGATTTTGTTTTTGAAAAAAGTCTCTCATCCTCACAAAGGCTAAATTTATTTGATAAAAAATGCAGAAAAAATATTGTGAAATATTACAATTTATAAGAATTGTTTGCTATATTAATGTATTTTAAAATAGAACTAATTCCTGTGATGGCAAAGCTGAATTTTCAGCAGCTATTACTCCAGTCTTCAGTGTCACATGATCCTTTAGAAATTGTCCTATTATACTGATTTGGTGCTCAAGAAACAAACATAGGATCAATGTTGAAAACTGTTTAATTTTGTGGAAACCATGATACTACTACTTTTTTTTTTTTTTTTTAAACATCCTCTGTATTTAGTTTTCTAAATTTGGCACAGAATTTTTTTTTTCTCTTAACGGGTATCATGTACAATTATATTTTGACATATACGTTACCATCTTAACACAAATAAAGGTATGGGGTGAAAGGGAAAAAAGGAAAGAAGAAAAAACAAGTCATGGTGGTGGGGTTAGGGTTCAAATCTAACCTTTTCAAGTTAATGGTGCTGCATAACGATACTTCTTTTTTAAAAAGATTCCTTAAAAACAGCATTTATTTGAAATATACATTTTTGTAACACTAAGTGTCTTCACTTGTCACTTTTGATCATTTTAAAGTAGCCTTGATTTATAAAAACATTAATTTCTAAAAAAAAAAAAAACACCTACTGATCCCAAACTTTTGAACAGTGGTGTATGTTCTGTGTATGTTTTTTTCTGTTTAATTTTCATCTGCCAGGTGAAAATTGTAAATTCAATCACTCCAAAAAGTAATAGCAAATCTCTCTGCATGATATTTATGCTTCATTCATGTATGTAGCACAAACTGTGCATTATGAGAAAAACAAGCAGTGTGAACAAACCTGAGACAAAATAAAAACAAACATAATCTAGCAGGTTTTTAATGATACAATGAAAAGTAGATTTAGATGATGTGTGTCAATGCTGAAATTACTAGGATTGAACAGAATAAAGGGAGGGGCTAACAGGACATCAAAACTGTACACACATTGAGCTAAGCCACTGACCCCCTTCTGCTTTCACACATAACTGAGAGAAGCACTTCCTGGCCTGTAGATACACACCTCTTTAAATAGAGGTCTATTTACTTTATAAACCTGTTGGTGCAATGTTGTTTTTTTGTCTCGCAAAGATGAAATTCTCCTGGTGAAGGACAAGTCCTTACCAACTGCTATCTACTGGAAAATCCCCAAACATATGTTTCATATTTCCCTTCCTAACCTTATCTGAACCTGCACATTATAGCTGGAAAAGCCCAAAGCACAACTGTAACAAAGCTCCTTGCCTTAGACAAACCCCACAAAATCAAAACAGTTTTAGACAATTAAACAATCCTGGAGGAATTTGGACGAGACCTGAAAAAAGGCCGTAATACCCCAAAGAGTCCCATTTCCTGCCTCACTGGCTAAAGCCTGTGTTATACTTTACGCATAAGCAATCCAGACGCGTACACGGACAGCGCGGACTACTTGTATTTATACTACCAAAGGCATACGCTGATGGTCCGCTCCGTGGTCGTGTTCCATATATGCGCAGTAGATAGGCTTGAACAGTAAACAAACATGTGAACAAACAATTGCCCACAGTTATTGCACATCTGGCTGTCTTTATATTGTTTTATCGACGGATTGTACAGGTCCGATAGCAACGGGCTTCTTCACACAGCCTGCGCATGCGCAGTTGGTGCTTTTG